TTTTTATATATTTGTATATATCTGAGACCTATGCTATTGCCTAGAAATAGCATGATAGGTGAACTTTAAATCAGAGGTGTATTCAGTGATCCAGACCATTACACTGTTTTGTTTGTTTGTCTTTGTTGTTTCTTCACAGTGTTAAGGTTAGGGTTTTTAAATCATCATCTGAAACATGCACAATTCAAACAGGAAATTCAAATTATGTAATTGATTGTTTTTCAATTCTGAAATGTGCCCTAAAAATGAATGCTCTATTTCCCATTTCTTTCCTGGCTGTAGGAATGGAAAAGATGTATCATGTAAAATGGCTTAAAGAATATACCACGGTTTATTTTTCACACTTACTGTGTTTCTTGGAGTGGTACACAGCCTTGTAAGATCCGAGCATGGCTAACGGATGGTAGGACAGAGTGAAGGGGTACACCAGTGTGCCCTAGAAAAGAAATCAGACAACTAGCATTTCTAAATGACCAAAATAATGCTAAACAGATGAGTACAAATATGTTTCTTCTAAACACAAGTGTGAATTGTTAGGATGCTTTCACCTTGGAGTGCTGGTCGGGGAATGAGGCTGCTGGTTTGCAGCGGTACAGAGCCAGGATCTCCTCCACGGGAAGGTGGTTCTGGAGCGGGACAGAGCAGGAAAGGTTTAACGCAGCTAGCAAATAAAAAAGGTATGTCCAATCTATGCAGTATTAACAACATACGTAAAAGAATTAGGGCCACAAGATAAACAAAATGTGGGATGTCACCAAAAGTTTAAATTGATGTTCTGATTTTAATCCCCACATTTTCTCAGAATTCTGACTCTTTGCTCAGAATACAGACTTTAATCTGAAAATTGTGTAAAACACTTATATTTACTCAAAGCATTTCTGAACCTTGTGCTTAAAGTCAGAAATCTGAGAAGAAAGTATGATTTTATTTTTTTCTCATAAATCCGACTATTTTCTCAAAATTCTGAGATTAAAATCTGAACTAATTTTTTTGTAATCACTTTTGGTCACATCCCCAAAAAATTGTTCTCATGTTGATCGAATCCTGTTCCGTAATATCATAAATGCACTGTCATATAAAAAATAAATACATGGAAGTTGATATAAACTCACGGAGGAGTAATCAGATACCCCAGCAGGACCCATATACCCTCCTTGGGCTTCTCTGGTGTGAATGTATCTGACCTACTGGAACATGAGGGTCTCACCATGATAATCCCAGCAAAGGAGGACAGGATCATGGCCTCTCGCTCCAAGCGGTTTGGGTACTGAGCGCTTCCTGAGCAGCTTGTTGCTCCACTGTGGTACAGAGGAGAGTTTCACTTAAATAAATAACTAAAATAAGAACAGCAGAGTATTTCCACAGCTGCAGCAGGAGGCCTTGTTTACATCTGGCTCTGTTTTGTTTTTACTAAAACTTAAAATAAGTCTCAGATTTTGAACACACATATTGACACTGCTTAGCGGGAGCTAGCGGCACAGATGTATTTTTTAGGCAAACTGGTAAAGATCCAAAACCAAAAGGAAAGATACCTATAGTTTGCAGAGCCTGATTAGGTTTATCGAGTAGTTAAATCCAGCTCCATTGCTAACACTTTTGCACCTTCTACTGAAGTAAGATTTTGAATGCATGAATTTGACTTGTATCAGAGTACTCTAACATTGTGGTATTATACTTTAACTACAGCAGGAGATCCAAGTACTTCCAGCACCCCCTTTTTAGTCTTTCTTTAGACTATGAATACACCAGCAGCTCACATGATGTCTCTGTCGAGCACATCCCGCCCCTCTTCTTTGTCCAACCACCACAGGGCAACAGTAATGGCCAGGTCATAGTGAGCCTGGATCACACAAATGAAATACAAAGCACTTCAGAATGATCAGTTTCTTTCTGTTTTCTATAAACTGATGCAGTTAAACAGAGTCACAGGTGATGTCTCTACCAGGTCATCCAGCATCGTGGAGGTCCCCTTCCCTTTCGGATCAAATGACTTTTCTCTGAGTTTCTGCCCGATGTAATCGCCACTGTTCGGATATGGACAAATTAATTATTTGGCATTTCAAAAATGTGTTTTTTTAACAAACACTGAGCTTTTGATATCCACTCACATGAGGGCTTCCACTTCTCTTTTCAGCTGCCTTGTCTCCATTTTTCCTTTCAAGTAGGACTCCTTCAAAAAACAGAAAGGCGTCTAAATATTGTTTTACTTGCAGTCATTTCCTCATTTCTAATTTGATGAGACTCTACTGACAAAGAGGGCTTGCAGCACCCAACAATGTAATAACTTTTCCATCGTTATAAAATGCTGTGACGTTTATTGTATTTACATTGTTATAAATATCGTAATACCTTTCAGTTGGGTCTTTTTTTCCAAAACTGATACATTTATTAAAGAATATAAACATCCTTTTTCCAGTATCTGTACATAATGATTCATATTGAATGTTATCTTTGCCTTGCCTGATCTTATGACATTTCTTTATTCGATCGAACAGGATATCAAATCTAACTTGAAATCAAGAAAAACTACTTTAACAGTTAGGTACATTTTAAAGTAGAAACGCTTTGTCTTAGAGCAGGGGTGTCAAACCCAAGGCCTATGACTTCATGTGATGTGGCCCCACAAGAGCTTGCAAAGAATATAATATGTTTATTATACGGTTACATGCCGCTTTACAGAAGCACGTTGCCCAAAAACTACATGTCCCACAATGCATCTCAAATTTTACATTTTTCTCAGAATGTAACTTTTTTCCCAAAATGTGGCTTTTCTTTTTAAATCATTTTGTGACATTCTCACTGAAGAGACTTGCAATTATTTGCCCTAGACTTCTGCTTTCAGACGTAGTTAATTATGAAGTTATTACCCAACCGAAAATAATCCAATGCAGAGGCAATGATGTAATATAATACGTTATTTTATATATATATTAAATATTTATATATGTATTTTTATATAGTCTTAAAGTTACAACCGGCCCTTTGAGCACAACCATAATGTTAATGTGGCCCGCAATGAAATTTAGTTGGACACCCCTGTCTTAGAGGCTTTACACAGAAAGTTCAATACATTCCCTGTAATGTTACCAAGATATTAAAGTTATCTTTTTAAATGTTATTCCTATATCAAAAGAAGGACACTTTATTTACACTGCGTAAAAAACACATTTAACTGCAATCCCAATATCACCGAAACAAACTATTTGCGTTTTATTTTGATCCAGGTTACAGTAAGCCACCACATCTGTATTATATGTTTAGGAAATGTCTATAAGATGTGTGCTGGGCAAGCTTGGCAATTAACATTAAGCCTAAGCCCTAAAGGCTTAATTTGCCGCTTCGCAGTCAGAAACCCGTGAACACCCTGTTGGAGCCCCCACAGAGAGACAGAACAAATTCAACTGTCCAAATAAAAAAACCCCAAACAACTTAAATTGAACACATCTCTTCGGTGCAGAGAACAACATAGAGAAAACAAGATTGTAAGCTGACTTATTTATTTGGAAAAGTTGAGCGTCTGTAGTCCCACACAACAGAGTTCTGATCCACCAATTAAAAGAACTTCCACTTCACATGACGGAGTCGACCATGGTACCTCAGAGGGCTGCAGTCCCGAGCTGAACTGAATAATGTGAAGGGGCTCTGGGCGGGAACAGCAAGCCTCTAGCCACCGCGAGGGTGGAAAAACAGAAAGACCGTTCAGGTGAACAACCGGGGGGTAAATAATTATATGCACGCAGGCAGCCCCCCGTCCAAATCTCTAAACCATGAGCCAGACATGCACCACCTGGAACAATAAACAAGTAGCATGTTTACGTACTTAAAGGGGACCTATCATGCTAAAATGCACTATCTTGAATGATCTTTTATCATTAATCCAAAGCATGTGTCCCCCCGGGTGTGTCAGGGAAGCTGCCACGCAGCTTCCCAGAAAATAAAACGCCTCGTCTTCTTCCTCCCCGTACCCCGCGAGAGTCTCTAAAAACGGGGGAAGACACAACGGAGCTGATGCCCAAATTTGCCGTCCCGATATGAACGTAATATCACTGAAATGTGGACCCACGGCCCTAATCAGCAAAAACGGTTGCTATGCAGAAAGCCAATGCCGGATCGTTTTGGACCGTAATATGGTCGGTGTTTTACTTTAGCATGCGGCTCAACACTCAGAGCTAACCTGGTACTGGAGAGGCATGGTTGTTGTTGAAGAAGCAGGAACTAAAAGGAAACTCCAACCTTGTGGTATAAACGCAAAAAGAGAGAAAGCTTTTGAGCTCCATAAACTGTTTTTAGAAAATTAAATCTTAATAAAATTCAATGGAGAATATGGCGTTCATCACCGCGCAGTAATTTAGTTTTCAGGAAACAGTACTCCGGGTTCCGCAAATGAGGCTTCAACCCCGCTCCCTTTTTTAATTTTATAAGCTTTATACCCCAACAATTACTGTTAAGAAACAAGAAGTGAAAATAGAGGGAAATATGAGGCATCTGGGGCTAGAATGGGTTTTTTAAAGTGCTTGTTTCTTTTTTGGTAATTGAACAAAAACAACTTTCAGAACGTTTTTAATATAATTGTTTATATACTTGGAGATATCTTTACTGCCTAAAAAGCAAAGGATAAAGGTGACCTTAAAAAAAAGAAAAAGGTAAGTTTTTTGAGGTTACTTCTCCACTGAGTATTCCAGTTTTAATGCCTACTCTATACTTGTCCTCTCCACTACATTTTTAAGAAGCAATATCCTGAATTGGTTAATCCATTAACATTTTAAATTTTTTTACAGCTTTTTATTTATTTTTGGAATAGATTATTACTACAACAAAAGTCAAATCAATTAAAATAGCATTTTACCATATATGTTTTTTAGGTTAATTATATCCAGCTGCCGTAAAATATGAGAGTATTTCAAAATTAAAGCTTCCAACCGTTTAAACCGATGTGAATAAAAACATAATAACGTCAACGAAGTAACTTTCCAGTGATCTGCAAATGGGCCATTCATGAGGAGGTTTATTTTGACTTTTGGTACTTTAAAGTTTATGTTCTGAAAGCTATTACTTTGTACTTTGTACTTAAAAAAACTACTTTTGTGAAGTTAGTAATTGCTACTTTTTAACTTGCGGTAACAAGGATGCCTGAAGTACGTCTTAACGGCAAAAGCTCATTGGTTGGACATACCTCTCAGACTTGAGCACGGGGTGTTTCCGCCACTCCAATAACTTTTAAAGGTGAACTTCAAAGAAATGGTTTGAGAAAACAAACAGACGTGCTATCACCCGCTAAACTTCGACTTT